CGCTTAAAAACTTTCAAACAATACACCTTACATTAATTTGTTATAACAGAAACGGATAAAAGATAAAATAAAAAAAGAATTCAATCTATTTAATTTAAGTAAATTTATCGAAATAACCACACGATCGAACTTGAATAAATCAATTTTATCACAAGAAATTTCCTTATTTTATTAAAGAGAAATTTTAAAAGCTTTCAACCACATTCTCCTAACTAAGACGACCAATTAACACACACCTTATATCTCTATCTAATGTTAATAAATATTTAAATAAAAATGAATCCAAAAATAATTAATCGTTATTTAAAATTTTATAAAAAAAATTGCTATAATTATTCGTAATATAATTTTGTTAAATGGACAAACAAAGAATCGATAAAATTAATTGCACGTTCTATTACATGATACAAACAACTTAAATTAAAAATAAACAATACAATCAATGTTCGTAATCCCATTCATTCAGTCTACTTATTAAATTACCAATACATTATATTCATACCGTCTAATCTTTAATTAATAATTAATTGCATTAGAATAATTGAAAAAGGAAAAAAAAAGATCAACTAAATCAACCAACCAAGTAAAAATTAATTTCACAATCTATTACACATAATATAAACAATTTAAATTAAAAATAAACAATAAAATCAATGTTCGCAATCCTGTTGATACAATCTACTTATTAAATTACCAATACATTATATTCACACCGTTTAATCTTTAATATTAATAATTCATTGCATTAGAATAATTAAAAAAGAAATAAAAAAAAAAAAAGATCGACCAACTAAACATTAATTTTACGATCAATTTCATAATAACATGAACAAACAAATTGAATTGAAAATAAATCAAATAAAATCAATATTTGCAATTGATTGACTACGTTCATTTACAAAATGTACATGTAATTCAGTGTCTCCTTTTTCTCTCTTTGATCCCTCTCTCTCTCTTTCGTTGTATAAATTTCAGAGTACACACACATATACACAGACATACACAGAGAAATAAACAAGGTATCGTTCATCTTGCTCTGCGTGCAATCCGAAACTACCTCGACCACGCGATTTCACGTCACGTAAAGTGAACTAGCCCTGAACTACTATACCACCACCACCACCACCACCACCACCCTTGACGAACTATCCCTTACACGAAGAGACCCCTACTACTATCACCCTTTACCCTTTCTCTCCCTCCCCCTATCTAACCCCCCTCATTCGTCTTTATCTCCTGTTAGTTAACTCGAGCTCGATTTCTCGAGCAGATTTTACCAACCCTATGGTGCAACATAGTGCTATCGCGTTAACACGTTGTTACGCGATAATGAATATCGCGCGTGTTAAACAGCACAGTGTTACCACTACCACTAACACTACCACTAACATCACATATGTACGTATGTACATACATAATACGTACAAGCTTCGATCGTTTCTCTTCCCTAACTCAAAATTTCGTGCGACGATCGTTTTAAGTATCAAGGATAACACCTATCGAAGAGTAATCTTCTTTCTCTTTTTTATACTTTTCCCATTTGTCTCACTCTCTTTCTATCTTTCTCTTTCTCTTTCTCTTCGTTCATTTCCTTTTTTATTCTCTTTTTTTTTCTAGTAATGGAGGAGCAAGCACTTAAACAAATCTTAGAAAGAAAAAGAAAAAAAAAAGAATGATATAGATAGAAGATTGTCATTAAAAGAACGCAAAACCCCGATTATAGCAAGTAGACGATAATCGATTAGAGATGAAAAATTATCTTCCTTCTACGCTACTAATGGATCTGCAATTCGTAAAAAATAGAAGAAGAAAAAAATGGGATAGATATATAGGTAGAAAACTATGGATAGTGTTATCGAAAATCGAAATCTATTAATTACGCAAACTAATGGGAGAATAATAATACACTTATATTATCTATGAAGATTTGTTCTAAACATGTGTATATATATAGATACATGATTGAGAATCTTTCTCAACAAGATGGTACAACGAAAGAAAAAACGAATAAAAATAAATGTAAACAAAAGGTAAAAGAGTATAAAGAAATAGAATTTCACAATAACATATGAAATTTAAATAAAACAAAATAGAAAGAGAAAGGATAGGTAACAGGAAAAAAATATATATATATAGAAATAGAAATATGACATGAAATTTAAATAAAATAAAATAAAACAGAAAAAGAGAATAGGATGGTAAAAAAAAAAAAAAAAAAAAAACCAAAAAGAAAACCTAGAAATGAAATGGAATTTAAATTAAAAAAAAAAAAGATAGAATAAAAAAAAAAGAAAATGAAATAGAATAAAACAGAAAAAAAGAATGGAGTGGTAACAAAATAAAAACAAAAAGAAAAACTAGAAATTAAATGAAATTTAAATTTAAAAATGAAATAAAATGAAATGAAATAAAACAGAAAAAGAGAATAGGATGGTAAAAAACAATAATAAAAAAAAAAAGACAGAAAAAAACAAAAATTACATGAAATTTAAATGAAAATAAAATAAAAAGAAATATAAAATAAAATTAAATTAAAGAAATTGATTAATGATTGTTAAAATTCTTTCGCGTTCTGGTCTTGTACATGTTTAACGCTCGAAGTAAGAAGAAGTAGTAAAAGTAGTAACAGTATTAGTAGGAATGTATAAAAGTGGGAGTAAGGGTACAAGTAAAAGAAGAAAAACAAGAAAAAGAAGAAGAAGAAGAAGAAGAAGAAGTCGCATTCGTTATTGCCGGATTCCGGCGATATCTAAAATCGTATTAGAGAGATCCCCCCGATGTCGTAAATATTCGCCAAAAGAACGTTGTCGGAAGGAGTATCGTTTTCTCTCTCAAAAGAAAGGGGTGAAGGGAGGATAAAGTAAGGTAGGATTTTTCTCTTTCTCTCTCTCTCTCTCTCTCTCTCTCTCTCTCTCTCTCTCTTAATATAAGGGACGACCTTCGCACGGGGTTTTTCTACTCTCTTGGAAATTCGCGATCTATACTCGTCGCGAGGGAACAACGAAATTTATGAATATTTCGTATAATACGTATAGGAATGACAGAGAAAGAGAAAAACAGAGTATGTATGTAAGAGAGAGAGAGGAGAGAAGGGTTGGATAGTAGCCGGAGGATCTTACGTTCCCAGGAGAGATTGAAGGAAACAAATATATATATACATTTATATGTATGTATATATATATATAGAGAGAGAGAGAGAGAAAGAGAAAAAAAGAGAGAAAGAAAAATAAAAGGTAGTAACAAATAGATAAATAAATGGATACAGAAAGAGAGAGAGAGAGAGAAAATGCAAAATAAATATCTATAGAAATAATATAATATATTATATATAATTAGTATATTTTGTTAGGTACTATATATATATATATATATTTATAGATTTGACTATTTGTAATATTTTTATAAATATTAAATAAAATATAATAAATAAAAATATAAATTTTGTATAGTTAATTATTGTTTATTTTACTTTATATTATATATTATATCATATTTATTCATTCAATTGTGTTTACTATATTATAAAAAATTTAAATAAGATATGTAAAACGTTTGTATAAACTTCTGAAACCCGTAAAAGGAAGAATAATAATAAAGACAATAAAATATAATTATAATTATTCAGATAAATACTATATATATACAATATATTATATATTATATATTATATATTGTATATGATATATGTAGAATCATTCTATAGGAATTCTCCATTCTATAGGATCTATACCTATATTTTTCCATAATATTATATACCTATAGATCCTATAGAATGGAGAATTAGGATCTATATAGTAATAGGATTAATAGAATCTATATATATTTATATAAAGAAAAAGAGAGAGAGAAAGAGAAATAAAAATATTTATATGTCAATATTAAAAAACATTATTCTTGATAATTTTAGATAAGATAATTAAATGAAGGATTAGTAGAAAAAAAAAATTACTATTTCAAATGAATTACACATTTTTTTATGAGATCTTTTTAATATACGTTTATAAGAAAGAAAGAGAGAGAAAAAAAAATAGAATATATGTTCAAAGCTAATATCAATAAAAATGAGAACAAATTATTCAATGTTATAATGTTTCTTTTTCCATTTTTCTTTTTGTCTTTCTTTTGATCTTTCCTTTGTAATTCTCCTAGCAGGTAAGAACTTTCGAATCAAAATAAGAGAGAGAGAGAGAGAGAGAGAGAGAGAGAGAGAGAAGAAGGAGTAGAAGAAGAAGAAGAAGTAGAAGAGTCCGTATAAAAGAATCGAAAGGAATTCGGCATCAACTATGGCAGCTCTCGAGAAATTGTCTGGAATCGTTCATTCGAGTTTTCGTCTCGAACAAACGGCAAAACTCGTCGACCGAATTTCATTTCCCCCTCTCTTCTTCTTTCTTCATTTCATTCTTTCTCTTTTCATTTAACGAATCGAGAAAGTAATGAACGATTAGCCAAATCGTTCTACTACTATATTTTCAATAAAACGAAAAGAATCCGTGATCGTTTCGAAAGAAAACATTACCCTTTACTTACAATTAGTTTCTATCCTATTATACAGAGTTCCTTTAAATTTTAACTCATAAAATACAAAGATCAAAAAAAAAAAAATAGTACTTACACTAAACTAATAAACAACTATAATAAATTTATAATAAATTAATATTATTTAATTTATAATATATTAATATATTAACATATAAATATAAAAACGTGTGTTTATATATACATATAAAGTATATCGAAAAGTTGATCAAATAAATGCATTTACTTGTTGTCTGTGCGAATGCATAAAATAAATATAAATAATGTATGCGTTTGAAAGTGAAACAAAGACAACAACATACTAACAGATTAAAAAATATAATAAAAGAAAAAGAAAGAGATAGAGAGAGAGAGAGAGAGAAAAAGAATGAGAGAGAAAGAGAGAGAGAGAATATGTGTGTCTCAGTCAGTCTGAGTTAGTCCTTGCGAAAGGTATATCGGAATGCTTTCGGCATGAGACTCACCTTCTCCTCGAGAGCCTTGCTGTTCCCCATGGCTTGCATAATGGCGTCCGAAATGCGGGTGTCCAATTGTCTGACGGCCCTCTCGGCATTCAGACCCAAAGGATCGTTACGACCGTCGACCGCCACGACGAGCCTCTCGACCGATCCCACGTAACCAGACCACGCGAGATCCAACTCCGATGCCGACTCCGTCAAGCATCCCCTGCAATTCAAATAATTTTATCTTTTTTATCTATTCTTTCCAACACCATTAAGAAGACCAATATTTTTCTATTCAATAAAATTAGTTTTTTTTTTAATATTTCTCTATCCAAGAATTAGACAAAGATTTTTTCTGTTTTTGTACAATTAAGAATGTAAGACGTGTATGTTTACCCTTTTGAATGCTATGGACGCATATATGCGTTTGGTAAAAGTTACTAACCTTATCGTTCAAAGCATATACGTGTTTTTTTAATATTAATATAAAATAATTTAATGTTTATATTAGATAAATTATATTCAGAAAGAAAAACTTCAATTATTAAATATAATTTATTATTAGAATCTGTTTAATAATAAATTATTCTTTTCCTACAAAACATTTTAGGTAAAAGTATTCAGCACTCGAAAGGTTAACAATGATATCATTTTTATATTAATTATTAATATTATTAAAATATGTACACTGTTCCAAGCCCCAAATAAAGGAAAGGGTTCGAGGACGAGATTAGCAACCTACCCTTGGTAAAAAAAAAAAAGATAATCTCTCCCAAAACTAACAAAATAGCATCTTGAACACCACTAGATAACATAATTTTTGCTAAATGCATTATATTTAAATATTAAATTATTTTAAAGTAATGACACGAAGGAATAATTAATTTTAGGTTTTAGATTACACGATATTTTCCTGAGAAATCATCTATCGTGTTATAAGTGGGTTATCTGTGTGATATCTCATTTCATTCGAATAGAAATTGTATATAAAATATATTAATTATTATTTTTATTATTATAAATAAATGCAAGTTGAAAAGAATATGTATAACGAATGTTATATATTATACTTTTCTTTAAGTAAAAAAAAAAAAAATTTTAAATAAAGATGACATATCTGTATATACGTCGGCTGTTTAACAAGTTATCATACAATTAAAATAAGTAATACGATAAGCTACGATAAAGCGTACTATATTTAAAAAAAAAAAAAACCCTCATCACGTCTGACAAATTTTCCATATCATCTAATTATAATTTAAACAAGAAAACTACAATTATTAACGATAAAACGTGTTATAAATAATTGATGCATTTTATAAAAATGAATACATAAAAAAAAAAATAAGAAAGAAAATGCAAACGTTACACATATACACCTGAATAATTTATATATAAAAAACATTTCAAGGAAATTCTATAATCGAGAAAAACGTGTTACGAGAAAAAAGAAAACGATAAGGTGTACCAACTATAAACGGATGCATGTGTCAAGAATAAGAAAATGCAGGGTTACACACGATAATATAATCAGATTTAAAAAGTGATTTCCAAGAAATGAGTGAACACGCTTTACAATGAAATTCGCCCACGGAATATACGAAAAAGTCAAGATGTTTTCCAGCTTGCTCAAACACCACTACCACCAGCACCACCACTACCACTATCATCACTACCACCCACACGCGCCACGTGTGCGAGTTAGATGGATATATTTATCGTTCCTATGAGCAAACGTTTTCCCTCGAACGAACGTGATTCAAAGCACGGAACGAATAAACGTCGAATACAGTTATTCTCTCTCTGTATTTGTATGTATGTATGTATGTATGTATGTATGTATGTATGTATGTATGTATGTATGTATGTATGTATGTATGTATGTATGTATATATGTATGTNTGTATGTATGTATGTATGTATGTATGTATGTATGTATGTATGTATGTATGTATATATGTATGTATGTATGTATGTGTGTGTGTGTGTGGAAGAAGGATGAAGGTATATGTGTGGACTGGTACACAAAACGTGCATGCGAGTTTCCACGAAACTCTCGAATACCAATTCAATTTGCAACCTACGCATTTTTATATGTGAGTATATATGTTCGTGTATGTGTGTGTATATATGTGTGTAAATACCTATGAAGGTTGCGTGTATGTGTATGTGTATGTGTATATGTATGTGTATGTGTATGTACATATGTACAGGGTGAGAAGCATTTAAATCAAGATATTTAAATATCTCCCTTATTTATGGCTTTATGGAAACCCTTTTTCTTTAAAACTAAATTTAATTAGAAGCGGTACCCTTGTATTGTGATAAGATAATTAGTTTTTTTTTGCTGGAGATAATTATTTTTTTTAGAAATTTTATTATTTATTATGTTAATATAATTGTTATAATTTTTGTTTTGTTTTGTTTTTAAACAGAATCATATGTYTTGTTTTGTTTCTGGTTTTTTTTAATACATTAGTAAATATAGTTTATTATTTTTTTGCTTTAAAAAAAATATTAATCAATAAACGAGTAATCGATCATCGAGAATTTTTGTACGTTGAAAAAAAATATGAGGATGAATTGAAGAGTTTTGGGATTCGACTTATAAAAAAAAAAAAAAAAAGAGAGAGAATTTTATATAAAAAAAAATAAAAAAATAAATCAGTTGGACTAGAAAAAAAAAATTCCTTCCATGTCAAACTTCGAATTTATTGAACGCACAAAATATGTGCACATTTTTTTAAAGGACATCATAAGGGATAATTATATGAATAAAATAATTGTTCATTACTCTCGGATAAATAATTGAATAATAACATAATGAAAAATGCGATCTTCAAATTTATTTGATAATAATTCTTATTGTATTAACAAATTATTTATTTTCCATAAATCAAATTACAATTGAGTTAACGTTTCTGTAATTTCTTAGCAATATTGAACATTAAACTATCTCTTAAATTAATTGTGTTTTTCTTTTTTTAAGTATTGGAATTGTTTAATGTAATAAAAAAAATCCTAAAACTCCGTTATTTTGTTTTTTATTTAAACAAAATATCGATTATCTCAAAATACATCATTTCAAATGAGATAATCTTGTAAAACAAATCTATTTTTTCCTCGATTACACAACTACCCCCATTGAAATAACGATAATTTAACCCACAAAAGTATTGTCCATAAATATCATAAATAACAAAGATAATATTTATTTGTTCCAATTGAAAATGCCTCACCCCGTATATACGAGTGTATCAACCACCGTATCCCAAGCTCGTTCAATTTATTTTTCAATATCCCGAAAAGCTAGAGTCCTCTCTCTCTCTCACTCTCTCTCATGTTTGACTTTCGAATTCGCGATTTTCGATACCTCTCCCCCACCACCACCACAACCTCCTCCTCTTCCCACTTTCCTCCTGCAACCGTTCGTAGTTGTTATATATATATATATATTTATTTGCGACAGAGAATACGGAAAAGAACGGTGAGAATAAAAAGAAAGAAAAATAAAACAACGATACCAAAAAAAAAAAGATACAACAAAAAAAAGAAAAAAAAGAGAGAGGGGAGAAAAAAATACGCCACCAAAACCATCGGATCGCTTTTTTCGTAAAGTAAACATTTGTTATCAAATCGTGTGTTTCTCTCTCATGGTGCGAAGTTTATATAACTATACTATTACTTTTTACGATATGTCAAATCGATACGTAGGAACAAACACACGCATATTACACATATACAAGCACACAGAAGCATAGATAGAAAAATGTTCTATTTGTATTTCTATCGACTACGTTTCGTTTTTTTTTGTCGACTACTGTCCTATTTCTTTCTTTCATTCTTTTTTCTTTTTCTTCTATTTTTGTTTGTTTATTTGTTTGTTTGTTAATATCTGTTGTGTTATTCTCTTACCACGTACATACCCACAAAACATATTTGCATACACCATAAAGGATTATTCTGGTCGCGTCGAGGAACAAACATGGGCCCATGAAAATGTTGATTTTTGAAATACGTATCATATGTTATGTCTTTTCTTTTTTAGAAAAGAAAAACAAAATAAATAAATAAAAAGTGTAAAAATGAAATTTTAATTCCTCTTTCTTTCTAATATTTAGTAAAATTCATAAACGAAGGTAGAGAAGTTAAAAACGATACTTATTTTGTCAATTTTTCAATGACATGCGTAAAATTTGCAATTTGGAAGATACATTACAATGAAATGAATTTGAAATAAAAATGAATTTAAAAATATTTGCTCGATTTATCTTTTCTTTTTTTTTTCTTTTAATCCCTCTTTCTTTCTAATATTTAGCAAAATTCATAAACGAAAATAGAAATGTTAAAAACGATACACTTCTTGTCTAGTTTTCAACGACACGCGTAAAATTTGCAATTTGGAAGATACATTATAATGACATAAAAATAAATTAAAAAATATTTGCTCGATTTTTCTTTTCCTTTCTTTTTTTCTTTTTTTTCTTTTTCTCTTTTTGACATGCGTACAAATTCGTAAATGAAGATACAGAAGTAAAAAGGATACTTTTTACGTTTTCTTTTTTTAGCTCAACATATTTGCAATTAAAAAAAATACATTATAATAATTAAGAATGTACTTAAAAGATTTACTTGTTTTTTTTTCTTTTTCTTCCTTTCTCTGTTTGACTTTCGTACAAATTTATAAATGAAGATACAACCGTAAAAAAGATGTTACTTTACTTTATGAACAACGAGGTGCGTAACATTTGCAAAGTAGGTCACAGTGCTATATATATAAATGTTTATGAATTCTATTCATCTGATGGTGAGTTTACCTTTAAAGCCGGTAAAACCTTCGTATTCTATATGTATATATATATATATATATATATATATATATATATACGTTATGGTTTGGATAAAGAATCCTTTTGATCGGAATAGTTTACACTTGCATCAATCTTGTATCCTTTCCTATACTAACAAATAAATCTGTCAAACGTGTTGATTTATCAAAACGGATTTGCAGACTTAAAATCAATACTACCAATAAATTTTTGCTTCTTTATCCCTTAACCTTTAACTACAAACTATTTGTGCATATAAATAAATAATTTTTTATATATATGTGTGCAGAATGATTCATAAAAATATTCCAAAAATGCGAATCAATAAGTGTACGTGTGTATATGCATGTATATGGAATAATTACATTTAATGATAATATTATTATTAAATATAATTATCAAATAATTATTTAATAATAATATGATATTTTAATTATTAATATTTACTGATGTGCATAGTTGCGTTTAAGGATTAATAAAAATGTTAACACATACAAATTATATCGATTAATAAAATAAATATTAATTTGAACACAACAAATGGATAATAAAATAATGAAAAATATTTTTTAATATCATATATATATATATATATATATATATATATATATATATATTAAAATTAAAAAATTAATTTGTATATTATAAAATTTGGTGTATATAAAACGAATTAAAATTAACGTAAGTTACTTCAATTATTTTACAATAAAAAAAGAAATTAAATTTGAAATCTCTGTAAAAAGATTTATATATATATATATTCAATTATAAAAATAGCAAAGAGAAATTTATTGGTCAATATTGTTTTTTTGCGAATACCTTCTTCAATTATCGTACGTTATTTTCTTATCTAAAAGATAGAATAATTGATACAAACAGAATGCACGTTTCGGTGACCGTAAATCAATCGAAATCTAATCCATAGTAAAACACAGTGACGAACGTAAGCTCGGTCAAACTCAAAGAGAAAGAGAAAGAGAGAGAGAGAGAGAGAGAGAGAATTTGGGAGTGGTGGGTGGTAAATTATCCGTACGGTCAAAATCAATATGGAAAGGTCGTTTTAGTTCGTGATTAGGCGAAACAAATGAAATTGGTTTAGCGTTTGGAGATTTATAGTTCGATGGTTCAACATCCAATGGCCAAACCATTTCGGTGTTGTGTCGATACGAATAGAAAAGTTTATCAGTAATGGTGGGGTAGAGGGTAGTAGTTGTGTGCATATAGTGTGCATATATATACCACCATTCTCCTAATGTGTACAAGCGAATATAACACGACGAGTAATTTGAATTTTAGCGAAGGTATTCGTTTTCGAGAGCCAACGTACGCCTCGATTAACGTAAAATTATTCCCAAACGAAATTGCGATTTAAGCACTTATGCGGGCTGTTTCACCTACATGTTCCATGCAAAGTAACTTAATAGCCACAGAAGGTTTCGATAACGTGAAATCAAATAAATAATCAATTTTTCCTAAGAGCATGTGTAAAATCTTCCTCATTATAATTCCATTCATTTCATAATCAAAATTGCATTCGATAATTATATAATCAAATTATAGATAAAAAATACCTCTCTCAATCGTTTTAATAAAAAAAAAAAAGAAACAAAGAGGTAATTAATACTGTTCATTTTTATACTTATTATATTCGTACACGTTTGAAATTTCTAAAATGACTGTTTGCTTTTCTATAAAATTAAAATTATTTGTTTAAACCTCGAGGTTATAATTTGGTTTCTTATTTGGAAAAACAAAAAGGAATAGTACCAAAAAATAATAATTCCTATGATAAAAAGTACCCATCATTGTAATAAAAATAATAAAAAACAAAGAATTAATTTTTTTTTATTTAAAATAATGATTCCCTTTCGGGATACATGGAAACAAAGAATTAATTAATATATATTGTACATTTTTATATTACATTAGTACAAATTTGAAATATCTAAAACGATTATTTTGTTTCCTATAAAATTGAAATTATTCTCTTAAACCTCAAGAGTTAACAAGGTTAAACAATTTTATTTCTTATTTGATAAAAAAAGAAGAGTATACCAACAAATAATAATTCCTACCTAATAAAATTTTCCATCCGTGAAAATATTAAAATAAAATAAAGTAGAGATTAAGTAAATAAAAAAAAAAAAAAATAATATTTCTATCATGGTTAGTGAATTGTTCGTCGACTAACTAACAAATAAGTCGGATTAAAGTAAAACTTTGTAAAAAGAAAAAGTTTAATGTCTTACCTCATAACGTTGGTGCAGAATCCAGCACAGGGTCTGACGGTTGGTTCTATGCCGTAGCAACGTGGACAATAAGTCATCCTAAGTAGGGCATTATAGCAAGCTTCTTGTTGAGGACTGTTGCCAGAAAATAATGCGCTATCGGTCCTGTCCAAGACAGTTTTACCGAGCGTCAATGCTTGGATAAGAACTCTGGTAGCTTCGAGACTTTTACCAACAACTCCTGAGATTTGTTTTGGTACGTCACCAAACGGTTGGATCTCTTCCATGGTCTCGTACAAGCACGACTTAAATTTATCGGAGAAATCATCTTTACCGAGATTAACTGCGTGATGATAAGCTACCGGGAATAGTTTTGTGAAAAATTCGAGAAATCTTTCGTGAAGTAATTCACGTGTCAATGGTTGTTGCAAACTATCAGGCGTGTTATTGGGTGACACGTAGTCTATCATTGCTTGGTAAAGTGCTCTGATCGATGGTTTACTCTGAACTGCCATAGATTTATATACTTGATCGAACAGTGTCATCGTCTTGACCTCCGATTGTTTCGCCAACGTCGTTACCGTTTCTGTAAACATTCAATGAAAAGATACACGTCACTTTTTGTTTTTGTTTTTCAATAAAATTATCTTTCTAACTTTTGTTTACGTTAATAGGTAGTAAACGAGAGTGAATGAAATCATTTAAAGTATTATACAATTAGAGTAATAGGAAGATATATATATATCCTAAGATTTTATAGAAATATAAATTATATATTTATATAATTATTATTGTAAATTCAAAAAAAAAATTAATTTATATTTTCTTGTTATATGATATTTAAATAAGTTTTATACACTGGAAACATGTAATGATATTATTTAAATTTTCAATTGATATTAATTTTATTACAAAATGAATATTTTACGACATGAAAAGTTGACTTTTATATAAATGATAATGCAATTGGTCTTAACAGAATTTATACAATCCTCTCAAAGGATTAAAAATATACAAAGTAGAAGCAACCAACTACTACTCTGATAAATATAATATAACTTTATGTTTATTATGTCCTACATAGATGCAAATACTGTTATGAGAACAATTTGTTAAATTACAAATTTTCTATTATTATATTCCTATAATAATAAAATTTTATTATGCATTAAAACATGTATAAATTGAAAAGTTTAACAATCTAATATATGTATTATCATTTTAAAGCTTTGAAATGCAAACCAGTATCAATTATTACAAATATACAGTTACGAGTTGACATGACTCACTATATACCTATTAAATTATTATTATTATTATTATTATTAATTTTAGTTCATGATAGATAAAAGCGATATCATGTTTCTTAATATCAGAATTTGGTCAATCTTTAAAAAAATGTACATCTAATAGATATATTTTTTTCTGTAAAAAAGATAAGAGTGACAACATATCATGTTTCTTAGAATCAGAATTTTGTCAATCTCTCTAAAGCAATACATATATATATATGAGTATGTGTGTGTGTATGTGTGTGTATAAGTATTATATAAAAAATCAAAGAACGTGGATATAATACGTCGATGATGGATTATGCGAAAGGGTCGTTGCACTTATCGAAGTACGTATTATAATGTGAAAAGGAAAGTAAATATTAACTCGTAAACGAAAGGTAAGGAAAGGGTAGGAAAAGGAGGATAAATAAAAAAAGAAAAAAAGGAGTAACTATGTACTCTTCCGATAGTTTCTGTGTAAACTAACATAAGAAGGGAAAAGACCGGTACCATAACCTTCGGACGATGACTAAGAACAAATTGCGAGAGTAAGGAGGAGACTGAGTGGCGTTACCCTCTCTTTCTCTCTCTCTCACTCACTCATAAACTCATTCTCTTTCTTACTCTCTCTTTCTCTTTTGATCGATTCTACCGACTCGAAATACCTTTAAGAGGGTAGACAGAAGGAGAGAGAGAGAGAGAGAGAGAGAGAGAGAGAGAGAGAGAAAGAGATAGGATAAAGGTTGTATTTACCCATCTTTGTTCATTCCAGTCCTTCGAAATGCTATCCTTTTCTAAACTCTGTCTGCCTGTATGACGTTAACTTGTATATGTGCGTGTACATAATATGTTGATGCGTATATATGTGCGTGCGTGTGTGTGCGTGCGTGTGTGTGCGTGCGTGTGTGTGTGTGCGTGTGTGTGTGTGTGTGTGTGTGTGTGTGTGTGTGTGTGTGTGTGTGTGTGTGTGTGTGTGTGTTATATGTATGACGTATATATAAGTGTGGATTATATAGATAAATGTGTATATTACTTTTGATGTATGTTGAGTTTGTATTATATATGCATGTGTGATATTATATATGGTGTGTATATATACGTGGGTGTGTATTATATATATGAGCGTGTACATTATATATAAGCGCGCGTGTACATTATATATGAGAACGTGTATATTATATATGACGTATATATAAGTTTGTATATTATATATATAATAGACGTAATGTGCATGTGTGAGTGTGTGTAATATATGACATTTATATAAATGTGTATAAATGTTTGTATAAATGTTTGTACATATGTATATGTATATGTTTATCTTTCTTTCTTTCTTTCTGATGTTAGGTCCATTTGCAATAGGCAGACTCTCTGCATTCCTGCCTACGGTCATTTTATTTTAGCGCCACCGTGTGGGAAGAGAAAAGGGAGAAGGGAACACGGTCACCTTTTCTATCTTCTTTCTCTCTCTTTCTCTTTTGGTTTCTTTTTTTTTGTCTTCCTTGCCAGTCTTACTTCCAGTCAAATTTCCCGAGTCATCCTGTGAGCTGATTTCTTTACCCCCATTACTCCCACCACCACCATGTTACCACCACCTACCAACTTTATCCTAAAAAACCCCCTCCAGCACATTTACCTCCATCTCTCTCTCTCTTAACTTCCAAGAATAAAGTCGTTTCGTTTAACGAGTCTCATCAAAAAAGAGCGAGTACTTTGATATTCTACTTCGAAATATATACCCCACTTCTACCCCGTAATTTCAGTTCCTCGAAGTAAACGAGTAGGAAGAAGAAAATCAAAAGGAACAAAATTAAATGATGAAATAAAAAAAAAATAAAAGAATTAAATAAAATATAAAAAAGGATTGGAAATAAAATTAGATTGTTATGGAAAATTAGAATAAAAAGTTAATCTAAAAAATACAAGAAAACAAAAAAGTAGAAGTAGAAATAAAAATAGAAGTTCTAGGTGTAGTAGAAAGATTACGATTGGGGAGAAAAAAGAAAAGAAAAGAAGAAAATAAAAAAATAAGAAATAAAATGTGATTATCGTTGAAAAACTTGGAATAGAATTAACTTGGAAGAAAAAGAATGGGGAAAAAGGTAGAATGATTGTGATTGACAAAGATAAAAAAAATAAATAAAAATAAAAAGAAATAAAAAGTATACTAAAACGATAAGAGAAAAATATTTTGTGGTTCGTGAAAATTCGGAATAAAATTGATTTCGAAGAAGAAGAAGAATAAAATTGCGATTAACGTGTAAAAATCGATAAACACTTTGAGGAAAAGAATAAGAATAGAAAACTTCCGCATTAGTTCGATTATATATATCCCCACATTCTAGATCCAGTTTCTTAATTCTTGTAAAAAGAGGGTAGTAAGGAGAAAAAAGGATAGAAGAAGAAACAAGAGAGAGAGAGAGAGAGAACGAAAGCATGTAATAGATTCCAATTCTCCCCTACTTTACCTACTCAATCCTTTGCCCTATACTTGGTTCTTTCTGAATAACACCGATTTAAAACTTTAGTCGTAATGTAGTTATTATCATTGCTACCGAATTACATTATACTTTTACGTCTTATTATCTTCCAAGATTATCTGATCGTTATACAAACTTTGAAGTTTCTGTTCAACAATTTACTTCAATTTAATAATACGAATAATAATAAATATTGTTATGGGGATTTAACTTAAATTACAATTTCATTATTATTTGTTCTATTTAAATTAATTATTGTTATAAAAAAATAAGAAAAATATTTGCATTGCTTACTATACATTACACATATGATTTAATATAATTAAATATATATATATATATTATATGTGTAATGTAAATGTGTATATATAATATAAAATTATTTGTGTAATATAAATGTTTATATATAATATTAAATTATACGTGTAATATAAATGTGTATATATAATATTGTTTTATTGTATATACTAAAAAATATAATAAACAAAAAAAATTGTGGATAATATTTTGTCCATAGTTCGATCTTTGCCAGCCAATGGCCGGCCACACCCTTTCCCGCCCAACAAATTTTTCATTTTATTCCTCGTCGAATTTGAGGACACGCAACAAGAGGGAACAAGTTCGAACGGTGCTAAACATCGATGGTGGTCAAAAGAAAAAGAAAGAAATAAACGGATAAAAATAAAAAAAAATGTGCACCACCCTTCGTACCTTTGCAACGACGACGAGGAGAAGAAGAAGAAGAAGAAGAAGAAGAAGAAAAAGAAAGAGGGGGAGGCGGAGAAGGAGAAAAGAGGTTGTGCAAAAGGCACGTGGGAACTCTCCCATGTAACGTCGTAGTCGGTGCCAGTGGCGAAGCCGGTCCAAGACCTTGATACGAAAGAAACGAACGAACGAACATACGAACGAACGAAAGAATCTCGGACGAATTCAAAACTACACCACCGACCACCACTTTCCACCGTACATGGCAACTTGCCGACATTTGCTATTTCTCTTTCCCTCTTTTTCTCTATCATTCTTTTTCTTTTTCTCTTTCTAACACACACTTAATCTTTTAATCTTTCTCTCTTATATTTTGTTCCTCTCTTTCTCTCCATTTCACACACTCTTCTTTAACTCTCTGTTTCTCATACATACTTTCAGTTTTTCTCTCTCACTATCAAATTCTGTTTCATTCTCTCTTTTCTCTATCGCACACATTTATATTAAATTTTATTTTATTTTATTGTTTATTTCTCTTTCTCTCTCTCTTCCACACATTTTTTTTTTATTTCATTCTCTCTCCCTCTCTTACTCTTGCACAAATTTTTATTTTATTTTTTTTTCTCTCTCTCTCTCTAACATACACTCTCATTCTATCTATCCATCTCTCTCTCACAAACTCTCACTCTCATTCTCTCACACACACTTTCTTTCTGATACATTCTTTCTTTTTTTCTTCTAATTTTATTTTATTCTCTCTCTCTCTCTCTCTCTTTTTCTTTCACATACATTCTTTAGGGTTTTTCTATCTCTGATACTTTTTTATTCTCTTTCTCTTTCTCACCATCTTTTTATTTATTTTTTTTTTATTTGTCTGTCTGTCTGTCTGTCTGTCTGTCTGTCTGTCTGTCTGTCTGTCTGTCTGTCTGTCTGTCTGTCTGTCTGCCTATCTGTCTGTATATTTTTCTGATCGTTTCTGTCTTTTTTCTTTCCCTATTGACAGTAAAAGAGCACGCGTGCATACCTACGTGAAAAGGACATCGAAATAGTGGCCACGAATGATAAATAACGAGGTAAAGAAGACGAATGGAAAATGCCGATCGTGCACCAATCATGGCGAACAAGCA